TATCTGACTCATCTGTGTCTGCATGAAACGTATACCTATAAGTTTCTCTTACCGGCACTCCAGCAGTTTTATGTGGTCATTACCACAAAGCGAGGTAAAAACGCGGCCCTTCTTTCCATTCTGCCAAGCTACCAACTTCATTCCGCAGTCAATTACTAGTCCACCAAACTTAGCGCGATGTTTAAGATGTTTACGTGGGTTGCGAACTTTCACTTTGCAATAAAAATCCTCCATTTCAATCATTGAATTGTCTAGGAGTCTGTTGACTTCACGCAAACACATGTGTCATCTGTCCAGAACTGTGGGCTCCGGATCAATACTGAAAAGGTAGCAAATTGAACCCCATGCGACAGGGCGTCACAGTGCGTTGTTAGGCTTAGCAATGTTCTAGAAAAAAATAGAGAGTTAAAGCCTCGAGAAGGCAAGGCGGGCCCGCCCTGTCTCTCGCGTGCGTGAAACAAAACGGACATAAAACTTTTCACGATGATGCTTGGAACACCACCACATTTAAGATGAACTTAAGTTCCGATCAAAAGCGTACCTTGACTGCAATCCCCTGACAACAACCTGCCCACTCTCAACCACGCGGTTAATATTTCCAAAGAGGTGCTGAAACGATTCCCGTAGGGGAAAATAGTTCTCAGAAGTGGCGACGGTGACCAACAGACGATGTATTCTGAATGTGAAGCTTTTTTTTCTGGCGTCTGGCTACTTATCCTGGAGCCATCGCCTTCAATTGCCATTTTCACTATGACGTAGTGAATCAAGCTCTGTAAAAAAAAGACACCTGCGCACAAGCTGCCCCGCGTGGTGTTTTGACCATTTCAGAACGATTCCTTAATGTCTACCTTTATGTGGTAAGCGGGCTTACTGACGGCAATCCTTTAAAGTTTTGTAACAGCTCGTGCCTATTGCTGCACTTGTGCTCATCTTTGATCCAGGCACAATTCGACTGCCTTTGAATTATGCCTAGATCGATTGAACAAGCGCAAGCTCTGCATCCCTGTACAAACTCTGGTGCACAAGTTCCTTTCTATCTTCAACGGAGATAGCTTTCAGGTTTAACCCAAAGCGAAAGCAAGGCTTCAAGTTGGCTGCCGACACTGTCTGCCAGAAGTCAAGTTTTCTGTTCGCTGTTCTACTTCACCCTTCCCCAATTCGTTTTACCTCGTTCAAATTATCATCACGAACCACGAGCAAGCTTTCCTTGGCGAGAGTTTCGATTTGTGCTTGCCCAGACTTATCTGCACTAGTCAACAAAGCTTTTTGGTCTTCTGTTGCTCATTTTCTGTAGTATTTTTTGTTGTCGTCAAGTATGTGTTTCAGAATTTCAACCAATGGTTCAAATACTGCGCAATCACGCTGACGCTCTTCCTCCCTTTTAGCACAGGCATCAGCCGCATGACCAATGGCTAGGTTACGTTTTCGTAGCAAGAGGTTAGGCATGTCGCATGTCTTTAGCTCCTTGTTCTGGCTTTCTACGGTTGAACACAAAGATCGCAACCTCTTCTCTAAACGTTCATCCACACTAGGAGAAGAGTCAACGCAAGGACAATGTCTTTGGATGCTACTGACGTACGAGTTTCTCAGCAGTTCGTTCTCGTGATACACTTGCCTGAAAAGCTTGTTGGTTAACGTCATTGTCATTACGCCTTCACCCAGTTTGACACCCGACGCCTTGTTCGCTCCTACTCGCTATTATTCCCCGGCGGTGGACGCTCTCGCCAGGAAGTAAATATGTAAGTGCTCTTGAGGGAAACCGTCGAGGAACACTCACGAAGAATTCGAGCGCCGGAGACTGCCCTTAATTCCTACAAGGAATTGCATTTCTACAGCACCACCCAACTTGGTTTCGCGAGTGTATCAGGCTCATCACATAAAATCCACCATCTTTGAACACTTTTGGAAAAAAGCCCAGAGGAAAGCTCAAAGTTGAATTCAACCCGACAAAGGCCACTACTCCTCTTCGTGATGAACAGCTTCCTTTACACTTTGAAAAATGTGGATTGCGGTATTAATCGGCACTGTGCTGGCTCGCTGGAATTCGCCAGTTGTTCCAAGCATGCCGCGTTGAGGTGGCTCCAAGGCTTTATAGTGCTCTTTAACTTCGATAGACCCTTCCACTGAACAGGGAAGCCCTTGTTCTGTAAGAAATTTCAAAAAAAGTGTTCCATGCAATTTGTCAATATTTCACCCTTTGCTGTGAAAGTATATTTAAACGAAAACTAAAACTCTGCAGACTCGGACATATAGTGAGCTCGATTCGCCCACTTTTCTGTATCAATATGGGTGGCAGTCGTAATGTCGCCTCTTCGCATAGCCGGCCGCCAAAGGCCAGGCGGCACCAGCAGAGTGAGAGCCCACGGTTACACGCTGTCTCGTTGTAACTTGGCAAAGGATGAACGCTACGCCCTACATTACTTTCCGACGGCTTCAATATGCGGTATGCATACGAGCGCAACGCAAACATATCAAAGCAAGAGGCAGCGGAAAGCCTGACACTTCTACGCGGTAGGGTTGCACTAAGGCGAATCGTAGGCACGTGCCTCTCTCCGTTGTTCCTATTGGCCCGCAGAGACCGCAGCTTCCGCCGTAGTTGCATGTTATAGGACCCCGGCTTCCTGATCTACCCAACGTTTCTTGCTTCAGACACTAGGCTAATACCCGTGCCACACGGGCAACTCGAATGCCATTTACAACGAAGGACATTTGAACGATCGGCCAATCAGCGCGCGACACTCCAAGTGTAGCGCATTCCACGCGCGACAGATCGCGAGCCGATTCGTCGATCACACGAATATCATTGGCTGTAAAGGGCATCGAGTTGCCCGTGTGGCACGGGTGTCAGCGACGCCACCAAAGTGATAGCTCACGTTTGAACAATTCAGCTGCCACTTCCAGGCATACCCAATGTTCTTTTTATTTATTAAATACTCCAGACCGCACGTGGTCCAAGCAGGATGCGCAGGCTACAAACTCAAGGACCCGTACAAAAAAGAAAACAACAAAACGAGAAATAACCCTACTGAAAAAAAACATTTCGCGCCTATATGAAAATAAACGGGTCCATACCGGTAACAGTTTAACCATACCGGTCACCAGTTTGTAAAAGGGGTCGCCCGTATGGCTCAAAGGGGTCCCCCGTATGAGCCATAACGGTTACCTATTTGGACAAACCGGTCACTCCTTTGGCAAACGGGTCGCTCGTCTGGGCAAATGGTTCGCTCGTCTGTGCAAATGGGCGACTCGTTTGGGCAAATGGGCGACTCGTTTGGGCAAAGTTGTCGAACGCTTGCTCACACCGGTGACCATGTTGCAAACTGCACCGGTTTAATCAAACGATTCTCCGGAGCCCGTTTGATACTGAACGTACAGATCGGCGGCGTGGGCACGCCTAGCGTTTCAGCCGTGGAAGCCAATGTTTCCGGAAGGCTGGGAGCGCCGGTTCATCGATTTCGAATCGTCCGCGTAATGCAAGTAATTATATTTATAATTTAATTGCGCTGATGTTCGCTTATACCGCAACTAAAACTAACACCTTTTTTTGTTGTTGTTGTTTTACGTAAACGCGCGACGTTGGTGAGCCGATATTTTGACAGAACTTTAAAACTTTGTCCATCTTTTTTGCCTCAATTTAATTATTCAGCTCGAATCTATCTCGCAGAAGACGCGAGCGCGTGAAAGAATGTACGTCTATACTTCGTTTCAGCTTCGGTCCGAGCGCGGCCGATATTATGAACCGAAGGGCCAATCAAACACCGCAAAAAGCGCTGCGTCATGGCGTGCTCTCTGCGCTTGATAAGACTTGCCGGCGGAGGAGCACGCACAGAGAGACGGCGAATACCGGCTGGTCCAATCAACTGCAGAGAGCGGCTTATAACATAGGCCGCGCTCGGACCGAAGCTGAAACGAAGTATAGACTCCGCTTCACTTTAATTCGAGACGCAGCGAAGGTAGCACGCGTACACGAGGCTGCAAGAACATCGAGCATTGCGAGAGCACGCCCGCCGTTGCAGCAGTCCAACTACGAGCTCGCGCTGAGTACTTTCTTTGCTCGGGCGCAAGCCGAGCTTCTGGACGCCCCGCCGCCATTCCCAAGGTTCAAGCGTGCTAAAATGCGCGCGCGTTTTTTTTTTGTTTTTTTTTTCGAGGTTACAAAAACACATCTTTCTGGAATGCCTGGGGAGAGGCCCCCACCCACCTCTCTTGTCACTTGTCACGTGACCGGCAGCCGCGCGCGAGCTACACGCTGATAAGCATAGAGATCCGGAAGGGTGCGCCTGGCACCCGCTTTTTTCTTTGTCTGCTTGTTGTCAGTTCCAGCTCGAACTTCGCGCGTCCACCTGCTTCGATCTGTCGCCTAAAGCCCGAACCACATAGGGCGTATTCTCAACGAGTTTACGCGCGTTTTAGCGGGCGTAATCGTGGCGTCTAGCGGACGTTTTTTTCGTAGGAAGGAAGAGAAGAAGGTCGCCGACCCACATACGGCGCTTTCCGTCGGCGTCTCCTCGTCGTATAGCGCGGTGTTGCCAACCTGTAGCTTGAAAAATAAGAGTACATCAAACCCGAAACCTGATTTAAACTCGGTTATCCTTTTGTATTAACTTGTTATCTAACGCATAAATATACTTCAATGCTATTACGTGTCAACATATTTTGTCTCTCTCAGTATTGACGTGTCGAATTTGTTATCATCATCATTAAATACACGACGCGCCTGCGCAGTGGCGCGCCGTTCTGCTAGTTTTGACGGTCTGCTGCTTGTCTCCTGGTGCTCAGCTTTGTTCTTCGTACTTTTGTTTTTAGTTATTTCCAGTATTTTCCTTTTTCTGTCCGTTGTGCATTGTGTTTTTTTACCGGACCCCGCAAGGATGGAGCGCGAGCTACAAGTGCTTCTGCTACGAAAGAAGGTAGCGTTGCTACGATTAATGCGAGAAAAGAGGAACCGGAGCGAGCGGACCTGTTGGGTTCGCCCGATTTTTCTCAAGAGGAAGGAGGAAGGGCTCTACCACACTGCCGTAAGTAGAAGAGCTTATAAATATAGACTTTTAGTAGACTTCCGACACCCCCGAAATCGATACTCCAAACGATACGATTCATGCCAAAGGCGGCGGCGGAGATCGCTTCGATCCCACTTTAGACTGTCCGCACAAATCGGGTTCTTAAATCGTATCGCTCTAGGATTTACTACAGAGGTTCCTGAAGGTGGTGGAAGCTTTCACTAAAATTGTGGAAAGATTGGCTCACCTGAGTAAATCAAGAAAAATCAAAAACTGTTTTTCCTGTACTTTGCATGTACAGTTAAATAATATTTTGTGTCGCTATGGCGCTTATTTTGGCCAACTGAAGTAGAGTATTGTAACAGTTGGGACCAGATGCCGAAGTTTCAGATCTTTCCGTTCTCTGATTTAAAACAAGTTTGCGATTTTTGTAAACCTTCATTGAGAAAATAGACAAGGTTCTCAGTAAAAGACGCCATGCATGTCCATAATTAAAAATAATGAGAATCGGGCATCTGGTTGAAAACGTTTGTGCCACATTTGGACAGAGACACTGTTCGGTGATGTAGTCTAAATTTACTGTCAGAAAAACATGGTTCTCTTTTCTCCCAAAACAAGCTGTATATTGACCAGGCAAGCTAATTACAAGGTTTTCCTTCTTGCTCAGATGAAGCTGATGAGACAAGGAGACCACCAGTTCTTCAAGAAGTTTTATCGGATGAGCCCAGCTACCTTCGACATGCTGCATGAGCTGGTGCAGGCAGATTTGCAGCGCATGCACTGCATACGTGAGCCCCTGGCATCGGAAGAGCGACTTGCCATCACTCTGAGGTATGTGTAGTTTCCTACTGAGGCGTGAATTGCAATGGTTCTTCAGAGGCAGACAGCCTGTTCTCTTGACCAAGTCTGCGGTGTCGTTTGAGCTCTTGTTTATACTCCAATGTAACGTTGACGGGCGCGTGCGCCCAACCTTGTCGCGTCACGTTGCTATGAAAGGAGCTTCTATACTTCGACAACAGTCGAACGCAATGCAATGTAACGTCGCGCGCCTCGGCAACCGTCGACGAAGCTTTCGACAAGGTAGGCTCTGCTCGAATTGCGGCGTCGGCTGGCGACGGTCGTTACCCAGAAGCCTTCACGCCAGCTCCTGTGATTGCCGTGCTCCCGTCGTTGCTCCAGTCGGGCATCGGTCAGGCGGAGTTGTGTATTCGTCTGCCTGCCGTTCGTGCTTGTGTCATGGAGTGTAGCCGCTGGTGAGTTAGATATGCTTGTGTTGGTGCACAGTTTGCCTATGTCATTCTATTGATTCCATTTGCTCGATGGAGTGAGCCGGCGCGTCGACGTAGACCTGTCTCGGAGCCGTTAAAATGTGTAGGCGTAACGACACCGCGGACGCGCTTGAAGCTTTTCGACGAACATCGGCTTCCCATTTTGGCGTCATATCCGTGAGTTTTCGACGCAAAAGGCTAGTCATGAGGTGGTTGCTCCGAACCACCATCTACTTCTCTTTTGTTGATGTTGGTCGACACCATGACCGGCTAATATTGTTCTTCTTTCGCTGACCACGTATGACTTTCGTTAGGAAATAAATGTGTTTCTATGCAAGTTATCTTCATTATTTCCTCGTTTTTAAGCATACCTCAGTGCAGAGATATCAACTGCCGCGAATCGCAGCTTTTGACACATTTAACTTCTCATCATCACCGTTGAAGGGCAGCCGGGCAGCGCTGTTTCTTGCGAACGGAAGCGGAAATTCGCCACCAGCGAGACTAAACCACGCAATCGCCATGGAGACGCGCATGCGCAATGTGAAGCAATTCGTTGGAGCGCTTTGAACGACGCCAGACTATAAACACGGTTGACAATTCCTTTCGCAACGCGGCGTGGCGAAGTGGATGACAAACGTCGTTTTACGTCGTCAAATGTTAGGTTTGTCGACGTCGGAGCATAAACATACTAAATGCAAGTAGAAAACTACTTTTCCCCCCATGTCGGGATTATGAATTTGCTTTTTTCTAACCACAGAAGTATGCTATAGCAGTAGCATTGCCTTTTGCTCTGAATATTAATGAAATGAATTACAAAGAACACTTAAAAAATATGTGCATTAACTGTATCCGGTAATTGAATATGTTCTTTACTTCAGCTACCTTGCATCCGGTCAAGATGTGAAGGACGTGGCCTTGGCGTACAGGGTCGGGCTGGAAACAGCTCGGCTGGCTGTTCACGAGACCTGCCGCGCCCTCTGGGCCAGACTGTGCCCCATTTACATGAAGGTGAGCACTTTATATACTGGTTGTATGATATGACAAATTTAATTTGTTAGGAGATCATAGGTGTAGACTACGGGGGGGGCATTGGGGCTCGTGCCCCCCCTGGTGAATTCGGGGGGACAGAGCCCCCCCCCCCCCCCTCGGGCCCGGGCCGTGATCCTTACCAAGACGCTGTTTACGTGCCATGTAACGAGCTTCTAGTAGCAACATGTGAACAAAATAACACCCACGTTGCATTTATTGACAAAATACATGGGAAATGGAATTCCAGCGTGCTTTCGTTAGCTTCCAGTTCTGTCTTGAAGGAAACGCGCAGCACCCCCCCCCCCCCCCCCCCCCCCCCAAGGAGAACTCAGCCTGCCCCTCCCGGGAAAATGGAAAGTCTACGCAGCTGGAGGTGTCCATAACCTACAGACTCTGATCTGTAGGCTATAGACAAATTGTAGTTCACATGCCATCCACACATTGCCTCCCGTGAGTCCTGGCAAGCACCTCGGTGCATTGCTGCACTGTTGCCCCTCATCTTGCCTTGCAATGCGGCTTTCAAGGCAGACCTACAGAATTATCTGCCACGAGGAAAACCCTTTTCCTGTAGGCTTCTCTTGGTTCCCTTTCACACTTCTCTCTCTTCTCCTGGTAGGATCATGTTTCTTATGGTGAATTCCACTCGTAGATCCGGAGCGCTTTCCAAAATCCGCAAGGGAGGCAAAATTTTGCTCCGTGAAACCCGCTACGAATCGACAAGGGGAAGATAAACTTGCATTTTTGGAGCGACCTCCCCCACACCCCTCCCCACCGCTTCCCCCTCCGCCGTTCAAAATGGCCGCTGCTCAAACTTGACAAGCCCACCAACGCTTCAGCCGACTGATCTTTCCGACGGCCAGTGTCGACTGTCACTGCTTAGTTGCAGAAATAACACGCGACATAGATCGGGCGAAAATATACGTACATGGCGCCCACGTCATAAATAACAAAGACGTCCGCGTTCGGCACCGTCACAAACCTTTCGGCCGCCTCGGAGTGGCGGGGCACACACAGCGATTGCCAGTGGTGGAATTCAGATTTCTGGTACGACTTTAATAAACACAGAGGTAACAAACCATCACTTGTGCGGTTGTTGCCTAATCACTTCTTGCTTCATTTCACGGGAAAACGCCGGCGGAATCCAGTGTAAAAAGGTAAACAATCATTGGCTGCAGAATGAACAGGCCTAACCTTGCGTCTCCCTCCGGCTTTTCTGTCGATCTTCCTTTCACGATCACAGATGTCAGCCCTTACGATTTACCACGCTCCACAGTCCTGGCTTTGTATCCCTGATCTACGCGAGGTAGAAGCGTTCGAGCTGTCACAATCCCGCGTAAACAAACGACGCACCCACACAAATCCAACTCTATGACCCGACCGGTCCGGCCCGCCGGTGCCGCCGACCTCTCCAACCTCGCCGTGCATGCGCACTGCCGATTTAGAAGGAAATCATGTGGGCCACTCTGTCAGCTTCTGCAGAGATCTGTGAAATCCCGCAGAGCAAGTTCGGTGGGGTTTGATGCGCTCCGTGGAGCGGGCGCTGCCAGAGATCTACGAGCGGAAGATGACCAACTCGAGTCAGATCTGCGAGCAGAATATGAGCGCTCCAAATGGGAGCGCTTTTGGAGCACTCGAGACCTGCGAGCGGAATTTACCATTAGCTAGTCCTCGCAAAAAGGAAGAAAGTGTTTTTGTTTATCAGGTGAAAAACGGAATTGAGGGGTGGTTTTTTGGCTTCTGGCTCCATATCTCACTGTGAGACAGTTTCTCCACATGTTTTATTGCTCTGCATACACCCTCAAAATTCACACAACTATAACAGTTCATCTGGAACACCAAATCTAGCACATCAGAACGTTTGGAAAATTGATGCACAAAGTCTTGTCATCCGGCCATCAGTTGGTTTTGTTTTCGTAATCCCTGGCGACATGTCAGTACAGAAACCTTAATCCTGCATACAACTAGCCACTTAATGGCTATGGAACGGTCAAAAAAGCGATCCTGTGAAGTGCGCCCTTATGCACCTTGGTAGGTTGAAGCTCTGGGACAGAGTATGGTGAGAGTGGTGACAAAGGAATGAAGTGAAAAGGTACCTATCCTCTTTAATCAAGGCAGAGCCTGAAGGTTTGTGGCTTCAGGAAGACAAAGCTCTCCCTTTGTGTCTACTCTCTACACACCAACTCAACTATCTTACGTCATGCCACAGCAGTGGTGCTTGGGGCGCACTTCCAGTTCAAGGTGTGAGCAGAAAATTGCATGCGGGCCGGGCATTGCTATGTTTTCTTGCTAGAAACTTTCCTTCCCAAGGTTTTGCGGTATTGTGTAGACTGGGGCTGCACTGAAAGATCTAGGAAAGGCGTCATAATCAGTTTTCATGTGTCTCCTGCCTGCCCGATCTTACCGAGAATGTTGATAGATGCCGTGAAAAAAGAAAACAAGTCGCCATCAGACCATCATCGCCTGCGCAGCATGCACTTAAAGTGAATTTAAGGAGTCTTCTTGTCATAACATTTGATTGTATTGTTCCAACATTAACTCGGGAGCACCACCATGTGGTCCGACCCACCCGGTTCACGTTCAGTGCATTTTCACATTCAAACAGCTGTCTGCATGTTGAACAGCAGTCGTCACATTTGACCGACTATTGCCTCCAGACCCTGTCAAAGCTATCCATGCCGTCGACATGGTAATTAGGCTTCAAAATAATTATAGCCATCTAAAATCTTGTAAACTTAAAGGGTGTATGGGGTAAATCTGCTCGGTGTTGTAAACATTATTACAAGGTGATGTGACAGTTGTAACCGGTAGTGATAGTGGACTGGTAACAGTAGGATTGAATTCATAACGCAAGAGCCTGCCATACAAGTGTTGTAACACACTTCCACTGCCAATTCCTCTTCCACCCCCAATAATAGTGAATAAAATTTGTTTTGTTGGTAAGCCATAGCCTGATTTGTAAATTTATAAATAAATGTTGTCTATTATACAGCCCCCCACGGAGGCTGAATGGGTCGAAGTGGGAAATGGCTTCTCGCGGAGGTGGCAGTTCCCGAACTGCCTTGGAGCAGTGGACGGGAAGCATGTTGCGATAACCTGCCCCAAGAACTCTGGCAGCACCTATTACAACTACAAGGTATGTCTCTGGTCCTTGTCACCATGTCTTAGATATAGCTTGGTAGTTTGTAAATGATCAGAATTCAGGCTTGACAGTTGTGCTGTGAATTTTCCATAGCTTTTATGAAACCCTTATGCAGATTATACCACGTGGGTACATGCTTTTTGACCCCTGGGACCACTGTCATAGCCTGTTCAGCTTAGAATGGATTACAGCCGATGCTGCAAGTCACCGAAGTCAATACAGAGTTCAAGCTTGCCATGTGACCTTCTATCTGGCTAGAGGGATACACGCCTAGTGAAGGCACCTCACATACACAGACCACTTGATTGGCTAAAGTGCTTATAGTTTTACTGCAATCCATCTTATCGTGAAACGGATTATAGTGAATAATGCTTCGCAAAATTAATGTAAGACAACAAAGAATCAACATGAAACTGAAGGTGACCACAAACCTGTAGCAATTCTAACGGCCCAAATTTTGTGTAGTTTGTATAAAAGTAACAGGAAATTTGCTGAGGAATGCCTAAAGCCACAACCACATGGCATTCTTCATGCAATGTGCTGATGTCTGTCCCGGCCACATTTCGGTGTCGGCACCGGAAGTGGCTTGCTGTGCAGAGATTAATTGGAGATTGGTGCACGGCAGAAGTAAGGCTAAGTACAACTGCTGGAACTTCCGAGTCAGTCTCTGTGTGGCCTATGCAGCAAGTTATGAATGTTTTGAGATTGGGGGTACAGCTTCTGTACTGCAACATTAAACCTTAAAGGGATACTACAACGAAATTTCGGCGCTCATTTTTTGGTTTGTATGTGTTCAAAAGAGCAGTATCACATGGAACATAAATATCTTGTTAAAAAAGTCTCGAAAAGGAATTTTAAAACGAATTAAACGATTAGCAAAGAGCACCTGGTGGATGTCGCTAACGCCTCGTTTGTAATGCTCGTCTAGGAACCTTGACAGCTAGTGACGGAGGTTGTCTCGTCTCCGGCCACGACGATAGAAGGGGGGAAGGACGAACTCCCCTCTTCCCGAGAATCCCTCTTGTGTGTCGCAGAAGTCGCTATTGTCCCCCTAGAAGATTATAGAAGATTAACCCGTCGTTCAAAATTCGTACAAAAGCAGCCGCTTCGGTGGCTGGAACGACTAGGCCATCCTCTCGACGTCAGCCTCGCCGTAGCTTTGCTCGTCTTGAGACGATCTACGTCACGATTGCGTTGGATGTCACGTGCTCTAAGCTGAGCCTTGTCCGAGCGCTTGCCAGAGTGGGCCGTTTATAACGAAAAATACAGCCACCAGGATCAAAATGCAAACGTGCGATTGTCATTTACGGATATTGTGGATCATATTCAACCTATTTTTGAACACGACGGGAATATTTCAAATTTCGTTGAAGTATCCCTTTAAAGCTTGTAAGTACTAAAGATCCTTTCTTGTCCAGCACCAGTACACTGCCTTATCTCACATCAGGTGCACGCTAATGCTGAGACATTGACACTGGTGAAGCACATAAAAAACAGTCCGTGTAGTTGGGGCCTAAGACGTTTTGCATGTGTATTTGTCATTTTGTTTTATAGAACAAATACATAAATAAATTTGAAGCATGCATTGTCTACTCACATTCTTAGAGGTTGCGATATAGCAGTCTATTGAGAAAATTGCAACTGCCGGAAAAGTTTCCAGAAGAATAGCATTTAGCATAGACGGCATGAATACAACAGTGCTTTCTTCCATGTTTTGCTTTTTATGAATATATCAAAATGGGCACAAATGTAGCATGTACTTAAGGGCTGAAATTTAGTATAATTTGTCCTATACTTTGCTTCAGCTTAAGTCCAGACGCAGCAGATGCTACAAGCGCGAGCATGTGGCCCTCAACAGTGCTTGTACCGCACGAGCGCGCGTGCTTGGCAGCGACGCTGAAAGCATGGAGCTCGCACTTGTAGCTTCTGCTAAAGGTTTGAAACCACGCTTTAGAGTTAATTGGTGCACGAGTTGGCATTGGAATAAGAAATACTAAAGGAATGGTTAGCTTGATGATATCTGAAAATGATTGTGGCTTTGCAGCTGCAAATAATGATGAATGTATAAACATTATTCAGTTGACCATCTCCAAGCAGAAGTTAGGCAAACATGTGATATTAGAATGGCAATCTGGGCTAGTTGGTTCATGTGTATTTTCGGTGCCCTGAAAGTTAAACATGGATAGTTTGTGTAATGTTATCATGAGCAGTTTTGTTAACCACAACACCTCTCTCTTTAGCACACCTTCTCCATAGTGCTGATGGCGGTCGTCGACAGTGGCTACCGCTTCGTTTTAATCGACGTTGGGGCCGAGGGACGGCAGAGCGATGGGGGAGTCTTCAAGGCATCCGATTTTGGGCAAGCCCTCGAGAACGGCACCCTCAACCTCCCCGACCTGGGCAAGCTCCCCCGGTGCCAGGATCCTCGACTGGCCCCTCACGTCTTCGTCGGGGACGAAGCGTTTCAGCTGAGGCCCGATTTTCTGCGGCCATATCCCGCCAAGGACCTGACCGGGGAGAAGCGGGTCTTCAACTACAGGCTCAGCCGAGGAAGGTATGCCCAGATAACTAGTTGGCTAGCTTAAATTAGATGTAGCAACAACTGTGACAACATGAATTACAAAATCTGTCCACATTCATTCTTCCTCCCCACAGAAGGTGCGCTGAAAATGCCTTCGGCATAATGGCGGCTCGGTGGAGGATCCTGTTGCGGACAATCAACCTGATTCCACAAAATGTGGATTACGTCGTCAAGGCCACGTGCGTGTTGCATAACTACCTGCTGGAACACCGCGAGCATCCCGAAGGCTATGCAGATAAGGACGATTGTTTCGGGAACACCACAGAAGGGTCCTGGAGAGCAGAAACGTCGGAGGCTTCGAAGAAGCTGCTCTTCTCGATGCAGCCGACATTTTCTCGCAACTTCTCAGATGAGGCTGGGGCAGCTAGAGAAGTATACACCCACTACTTCTCTAGTCCACCAGGGGAGGTTAAGTGGCAGTGGAAGTTGCCTGGCGTAGACAAAGGAAAAATCCAAAGAGGTCTCGTGCAGAAAGGTGCAATGATGAAGTAAAGCCATGTTCCAGATTTGGTGAAAGAATCGTTAAAGGGGCGGTGCAACGATTTTCGGACTTCGGTCAAAGATTTCTGGAAGTTGCCCCCTGACACTTCTGAAGTAAAGAACAGAAAACCGATTTTGCCTGCGTGTCCTATTTTTTGCGTAAAAAAAAGTTAAAGATTGGTATTTCGGGCACCCCTCAACTCACTCCCAGTCTTCAGGGTCACACCTGGTCGCACTCCCAGTGACGTCATTCGGAGTGCCGTGTAGCTTCCCGTGTGCTATCTCGGAGGAAGCTTCCCCTCCCTCTCTCTGCGTACATTAGCGGGCGCTATGCTGCAGCTTAGAGCCGAGCGAGGTCACGTAATCTTTCCGCCGTAGTTCCTTCGGCTGCCACTTGAGGCTGCAGGTGGGGGAAAAAGCTCGACTTTTGCTTTGCGATTATGCAGCGGAATCGCGACATTTTTAATGAAGGAAGTGTATTCTCTATCCTCTGGGACACGATAAACAACGTAAAAATGATGAGATGCATATTCTTTTAATCATAAGATTGTTGCACCGCCCCTTTAAGAGCTCCAGTGATGAAAGTGGCATTCAACCTTTTGTAGCTGGTTCTGTAGCAGACTTTTTTCCTTGCCTCCTACTTTCCTACTTAATAACTGAGCAATAAACTTTTTCTTTTTCGCTTTGCTTATTTTTGTGCAGGTTTGGCAAAATTCTTAGCAAAAATGTCACTGCAGCGCAAGATGTAGCAGACTTTCGATTATGGTGCAAAAGGGCGCAGCACTTCCATCACTGGAACTCTTTCGACGTCCTAACTGGAATGGCTCATTAAACCTGCACATTTTTTTGTCGTACTGCTCTGCCCAAGTTTTGTCGAGTATAGTTGACACCAGGCAGATTCCACTGTGCAAGCATCGACGCAAATCTTGTTTTACAACTGTTTTAGCTAGTGATTGACGATTTTGGTGTGCTCAGCATTGTGAAACGAAACCTATGTTAAAATTTTTCTTGCCTCTTTATGTCAATTTATTTTCGCACCTGTAACATTTCTTACTTTTGTTAGCTACATTTCCAGGTATTATTAAAGCTGTTGAATGTATTTTTAGTGAGTTCTGTATAGTTTGCAGTCTTTGCTCCAGTTGCAAGACTTTGCCCTCGGAACTGGACCATGTCTTGTCCTTTCTAGTTTTAAGGATCCTCCTGTTTGTTCTGTAAAATAAAGAAAATTCTGTGCTTCACTTTCTTTATTGCTATTCAAATGGTAAAAGTATACAAGCAAACGGCCACCAAAATGCAGCTTGCTAAGACCTTACCCACCCTCCCCCCCCCCAACGAAAAAAAACATTACCATATTTTCTGGGATATAGTCCACACTCGGCGCCTAATCCAAATGTAGAAACCATCCAAGGTCAGCTCGTGTACCAGGGCTAGCACATTAAAAGTATTGTACCCAGCACCCCTTCACAAATCCCTGCTGTTTTAGCTTACGAAGAAGCTTGTATCATACATAAAACAACATGAATATACTTTGTTAGTCATAAAATCCCATGTCTTGTCACAGTGGACAATCTAGAAAAAAATTTATATAGTCTGCACTGGCTAACTTTTCAACTTTTAGGCATGTATAGTATATGCACTATAACCCAGAATATATGGCACACACCAGAATTTGCACACAGTTGTATGAAGAATATTGGAGAAAACACTAAACATGAGGTAGAAAATGTTAAAAATGTAGAAAAAAAAAGGTTAAAACATAGGAAAAATACTTAACATAAGCTTATGTCAATTACTTTCTTTCCTAGACATCACAAAAAAAAGAAGAAGAAAAAAAAAAGCTTTTAGCCATTGTTTGGAGCTCCTGGCATGTATTCTTTTAGCAGCTTCAAAAACGCTACTCGCAAGTCTAGGACCCGTGAGGGGTCGACTTGCCGCATTGGGTCAGCTAGTGACAGCAGGAAGTATTCATGCGAGTCTATCCCTTGGAATCTTTTTAGTCTAGCATTAATGTCTTCGAGTTCCTCCGCGACTGCATCCTGCACTTTTTTTGGGGGGGGTGGGGGTTTGCTTTGCGCACCACAAAAGCTCGCTGCTCTTTTTCGTGGGTTGGGAGCAGTGCTGGGGCTCGCTGGCACCTCGACACATTCTGAAGAGGTCCCATTGGCAGCACTGGAGGTGCACGCAGGGCTGTCTGCGCACTGCACGTCCTCTACGAGCACCGCGTCCACACATCCTCTTGGATCCGGTGCTTCGTAGAGGTCGGCAATGCGCTCCAGCAGGTCCTCTGCACAGTCTTGTTTAGTGTGCCTCGCCCTTCGTCCACCACGGGCACCACCATGTTTCCAGAGGTCCTGCAGAAAAGTATTCCAGGGAATGTTTTTTGTACTGGATTGTTGAGTATATGTAACTACCCTTGTTTCAGCAACATTCCTTAAAAATGCGCATGGAAGGCCTCGATATATCTCTGTATGCCCCCCTCTAGGCAGAACTCCAGAAATGTAAAATACACGTACTGGCGATGGGCGACGGTGTCCTTGAGGAACAGCATCTGCTCAAAGTACGGCAGCGTGACATCGGGTATGGTGTCTTCTGCACCAGCACCGCTCTTCTGCTGCTTTGCCAGCTCGGCCACGTACCGAGTGAATCGATCCCTCAACGATTTCCAACGTCTTTGCACAAGAATGAGGCTCACTGAGGGAAATCAAGAGTTCATAAAGTAAGGTAGGACATAGTTACTCATATCACAAGTTATGTATAGCAGTATGCAGAAAATTGATTCTAGAAAGAAACAAATTTTAAATGCAACTCCACCCTTTTTTTTTTTCTCGAAACTTTAAACGGGCTTGGTTTCCACTAGTGCTTTATATCAAACTTTTTTTCCCCGTACATATTTTACTTTTCCACTTTCTTAAGCAAGATAAAAATTTACAAAATACCACCAGTTAAAACGGCAGCTGCCAAACGCGCATTTGTTCTACACTGTAGGCTGTTCCACATACAGACAAGGATTTCATGCAGAGACGCGTAGTGAGGAAGTTACAATTAAAATAATTCAATGCTCAACAAAATGTCAGGGCGTAGCTTTCGACAATACTTGCGTGAGAGCTCAGCATGATATCAGGCGCGGGCTTTCCGCGTTTGCGAAAGTGGTGTCGCCGGGACTGCTACGCAACGAAACAATTCCCATCCCCGGCCCACCCCGCGAACTCGGGTTGCGCGAGGCACAGGCATGTGGCTTCATAAAATGCTTTCCGAGTGGGAGTGCTCGTGCAAACCATGACACCAAATAACCCAAGCGCCCGTGTCTCTTCGAAAGCAAGACAGTTATTTACACGCTTTACAAAACACTGAATAGACCAAGGATGAAAGCATACATACCGTCCGGTGGGTCTCCCGGCAGCATGAGCTCTGCGATCTCCACCCACAGCAGTTTTTTTTTGTTCGTATCTTTATAGTCTTTTGACTTAACCTGCCAAAGGCACGGCCTCGCGAATACTTCCCGTATTAGCCTTTCGTTGCAGATCGCAGGAGCCATTACAGTAGCAGGTGAACAAAAACAACAAACCAGCGAGGCCTACTCTCCGGTGCACCTCGACTCAGTTCGGCGCCTCGGCTGTTCGAAGCTACTTCCGGCTGTCAACTCGCGTGCTGATTGGTCGGCGCCGAGTCGAACGCTTCCGGATACGCAGCGTCAAAATACGTCGAGGCGTCGAGATCTATCCTAGTCAGATCTCCGAATACGCTCGTATTTACGCCGACCGAGGAAGCGCTCGTCCCGACGCCCGCTGTACGTCGGGATTACGCCCGCCAAAACGCCCGTAAATACGTCGCAAATACGCCCTATGTGGTTCGGGCTTAACCCTGCGGTCTTATTAGGATGTCTCTCGACAACGTATTAGATGTGCACCAAAGCTATCAGTGTTCGAAAGGTCCTACGTCTATATCGGCAACAAGCGATTCTTCAAAGAAGTCAGGAATTCTTGCGGTTTGGTTGGGTTCGGCAACTGACAGCTTGTGCGCCACATCGTGTTGAAACTTCCAAGAAGCCGTGCCCTCTCATTTGTGTTTGTGTGGTTGTCCTAATTTGACCGTGTCGACAAATATCACGAATTACATCTTTCAAGTCCGCTATTTTTATGGTGAGTGCACTGCAACCTACTTCTTGGCAACGATTGACCGTTCTTCTACTCGTACTCCTCCAGATAATATATATGATTATGCAGCCACTATTCTCGCGGCAGCCGGGCGAATAATTTCCCGAAAGTCAACCTTCATAGTCTAGGATTACCTCGGTTCTTGTTTGGTTTGCTATCTTCTCAGTTGTATAAACGCTTACAGTGCCTCTCACATTTCACAGATCGCTTGCCCGTTTGTACTTGTCTACAGAAGACGTAATAAACTTTGAGGAGAATTGAAAACAATCTTTTGTGTCTGTTTTCCTGTCCATTTGCAAGCACCTACGTGAGCACATTTGTTCTGCGTGTTTCCTCCATGCTATAAATAGGTTTGAGTTCCGGAACGTCTTAAATAAGTTTAAGATAACCAACCTACCAGACGATCCCCGTTTAGGGCTAGCGCATAATTTCCCGATTCGAATGGCACGTTCAAACGTGTGGTCACGTGCAAGGTCGAACGCGCACCTGTATCGAACGGGCACCCGTATCAAACGGGCACCCGTATCAAACGGGCACCCGTATCAAACGGGCACCCGTATCAAACGGGCACCCGTATCAAACGGGCACCCGTATCAAACGGGCACCCGTATCAAACGGGCACCTGTATCAAACGGGCACCCGTATCAAACGGGCACCCGTATCAAACGGGCACCCGTATCAAACGGGCACCCGTATCAAACGGGCACCCGTATCAAACGGGCACCCGTATCAAACGGGCACCCGTATCAAACGGGCACCCGTATCAAACGGGCACCCGTATCAAACGGGCACCCGTATCAAACGGGCACCTGTATCAAATGGGTACCGTTTCGAGCGGGTACCGTTTCAAACGGCCACCCGTATCCCATAATCAC